ATCTTATCTACCGATCCGATGGAGCGCGTGCTCTCGAAGCTGCTATATCCGGGCGTAATTATTTTCTTGCGGATCGTGCCCGCGCCGCCGATCGTTTGGCATAATCGCGGAGAAATTCTACCTGGGACAATAATTTGTGCTAAATATAGGTAGCGCGTGCTGCGCACACATTGGCGTATTATGGTCGTTCAGTGAGTTTATACGAAGGATGGAAAAAGAAAAGAAAGAAGAAGAAAAAAACGAAGAAACGGATTCTCAAGTTTCTTGCTCTGCTCTCGCTGATGTGGACTTGAGGATGCCACCGATGATGATAATGATGATGATGATGATATGACGACGATGTTGAAGATAATGATGATGATGATGATGATGACGGCCAGCAGTGTGATTCCTGAAGCCTTCACAACTGGCGGAGCTGCCGAAGAAGGCGAAACGGCAGCTCACGTATCGCCAGCGTGATACCGGAGAGTCTAGCCGATTACCACCTGCAGTTGCAGCTAGATTATGGCTCTCATTACGCCGGCTATATTTAACATCTAGTCCCGATATAACTGCGCGGAATCTTGCAGATCCCAAGATAACTTCCACAATCGCTCGCCTGGGTATCATCTTCTGACAGAACAACACGACGATCGCGCTGAACGAAGTTAATAAGTTGCTTGCCTCGCATGGATTGATGGACGCCGGGCATATCGTGAAAGAATGTAATTCTATCTGAGAGCCATTAATCTGATAGCAAGTGCATTTAGAATACGCAATAAACCGACGGATCATGGTCTTGAAACAGAACGAGATTGAAACGATTAAGTGATATCTGTGGCGGAGCCAGAGGGAAAAGCGTACCGGTGCGTTAACGGTGAAAATCAATGGATGATTGCAAGGAGGTCTGCGCGGAAAAGAGAGAAGCAAGGGCGCCGTACGAAGACCAAGAAACTCCTCTCGAGGAAATCGCGAAGACGTGACCGATGATTATCGAGCAACGCACGGCATTAGCGCATCGGATCGGCCGCAATCGCATCGGGTTATTTCTGTATGCACCAGGAGGAAGAAGCGGCACGCAAGAACGAGAACAGGATGAGGAGTATGAGGCAGAGGCATGAAGAAGCCCGCGCCAACGTCTGCCTCGGCTCGGCTCCGGGGAATAGAAGCGGCGAGATGCCGGCGCGGTGCGCTTGCTCCAGCGACGCGGCCACAAAACAAGGAGTTGACGAGAAGGAAAAAGGAAAAGGACGAGGAAACTGGCGCCGGCGCTCCGCGTTTCTAAGCGGTCTCTCGCCGTGCTCGTTGAAAATTACCCGGACGCACGTGAAAATTGCCTGTCGGCGCGGCGCCGTGCGCGAGAGGCAGTCGCGGCCGACAGAATATAGACGAGCGCGACCGCCGTCGCGGCGCCTGACGATTTCCAGATCGTAATTCGCCGGGGGAATTGGGTACACGCGGATAATTTCGACTTTCAAGACTCGAGTTTCGAGATTTCTTCTCGTCGCACTGTATAATCTCACTCGCGATCGTTCGCGCGATCACAGACACGCGACAGAACGACTTTCTGCTCTTTCAGGGATCTTCGGCGCCGAGGTTCGTCTCGTTATTGAGTGCATTTGCGAAACGTTCGTTTAAAATATAAATACAAAGATTTTCAATTCATGAAGCCATTTGTAGCTGTCAAATTTGAAAGTTAAGTCGAGAATAAGACGTTTCTTTCATTCGGAATTATTTGATTTTATTGTTGTTGGAAAAATACGCGATAAAGTTCGTATTGTTGTTACTGGGATATAAGTTCGAGCTTTACGCGACTCCTTGACAAATATATACGTAAATGCTGACACGAGTCATAGCGGCAAATTTATTCCGTGTCTTTCGCAATACTTCATCGATGTCAACGACCACTCGTCGGACACGCGCATGCATGAAATTGTTTCGAATGACGTCCGTTGCAATTTTGTATTTGCACACACGCATATACCTACACACATATTTTCTCGAAGAAGATATCTATTGAGCGCGGTCAATTCTGCGAAATTTATTATCCGTGACTTTGTCATAGTCAATAGTGGATATTACATTCGCGTATTATGCAGCTTCAAGTACGTCACATTTTAATTAAAGACACTATAAGATAAAAACCAATAGTTAAAATCTTTTTCGTATTATATGTTTCTACTAAAACCGTTGTCTTCTAATCTTGAATGCGATATCTATTTTTACAATATATATGATATACTTCCTATCAAAAACATAATGTTTGTTTGGAGTTTGATACATGTACGTAATTGCATACATAATGTACACATTTGCGTCAGCAATTTCTTGCTCATAACTTTGTCATATATAGATTGTCTTGAAGTTGTATTTCAAACAGGAAACGCGATATCATTCTTTTCTTCCATTTACATCTATATTTCTGAATGATTAAAGATTTTGACCTTCGCTGAGAATACAATATATTCTAAATAATTTGCGTATTTAATGCAAATTTGAATGTAAGCATAGCTCTGTTATGATCTATCATTTTCATTTTCTCTCTCATCAACTCAAATTATCAAATTAATACACATGTTAAATGATCTATTTGTATCAAGTCAGTATGAGTAGCTTGTAGAAAATGCCTTCTTTTTGTACCTTATCGAATTTTTGCAAAATTTATAATGTGCGAACACCTTTTGCGCGTACTTCCTCATTCTTTCCTCAAAGGCGACAACGATTGTAATGTCCTGCTTGCACAACGTGGGAATTGTTACATTTCTAATGCGCATGCCGTAAAATATATATCAGCATTCCGTTGACATTCCTTCAATTTCATCATTTAGTGATTATCTTATTATATGAAAGACTATTTTCCAGTAAAATCCAAAAAAGCTGGCATCGCTTTATTTATAGAAATGCAATGCATTTTTCACACATACATTATTAATGAGACTGTCGCGCAGAGAGCATGTCGTCGGGTAGATTTTGTTTCCACGATAGTTAAGATTCCTCCTATTTAGATCCTGTTTGTTCTTCTGAGAGCAAAGCTTCGTCGCGCTGGAACGTTTCTTTCGCGAAGTCATTTCCATGGAAGAGCGGGTTCTTACCGTAGATTCCACCACTTATATTCCCCGATCTAAGGATGAATGGTATTCTCATGTTCATGGAGCATTCGCGAGATCCTTGTTGGAGAAATGCGAGCTATTTCTGGAGTAACATCCGCTCTGACAGTCGGATAGTAAGAAACTGAACATAAATGTGCAGGCTTCTTTGTAGACGATATAATTACAGGAAGTAGCAAAGATAACGTAACAATCGAGAAGATAAATCTTACGTCCGGATAATGAAGATTGATAACTTGAAAGAGAATCTCGCTTGAATATAATATTGTATTATTTGTTTTGCCTTATTTGTTTACCTTCTAGCGATGAAGTTAACAATTTTTGTTTATTTTTTTAGAAATTTAATATTTATACTATCAAAGGAGGCGAGTTGCTTATTTAAACAGAATAATTCAACTGATAAATGCGAATTAATACATAAAAGCAACCCGTAATAATGTCGAGTTACTTTTCATTAAAGATATTTCAGATTTTAATGTCTGTCTCATTAATCATATTCATGTCTACGTTATGCATCGGTTGTCAAATCCGATAGTTATCTGTAAATTGACATATCGATAAGACAAAGCTAAACGTGAATTATCGTCCGTTTGCAACGGATAATAGGTGTGCGGTTGTTCAACGTTGCGCCGTTGAGTACCGCTTAATGCGCTAACTGCTGAAACATACGACTTTGTTCCGCCGTCATCCATTATTTCGCGCGACGTCTAACGCGCGACAGAAGTGTCATAGTTGTCGAGCGTTCAATGGTCACGATATCGCTTATACGATTGCTGGCGCAGTCGCATTCGAAGAGCGGCGAAAAAAGTCAGAATTACCAGACTGTCCTTGCACCGTCGTGGCAGTCATGGCACACGCGGCGCAGCTACATTATATTGTATGTTTATGGATGATGCGGTGAACGCGGTTTTGTCCGCCGATACGCGCCGACTAATGGAAAGGTGGCGCGTAATGTGATAAGAGTGCCGCGCACTGAGCTCCAGCACAAAGAGGAAAGTAATTTCTGCTCAATGCAGGTAGGACATTATTTTCATTCGTTACATTCGTCGATTGAAAGAATAGCTGGACATCGAACAAATTAAAAAAATTTGAACAACAGTACTATTGTCGGTATCGTAATTATTGAAGGTATCGTTGACCGTGCGGTGGTTATTATAGCTCTCCAGCAATCGTAAGCAGGAAGACATACCAACAATGACACTGATTACACTAACAGTAATATTGCATGAGAGTATTATTAGAATAATTATGGAAAATATTTCAAGATCTTTTAAAAATTTTTTATATCTATAAATAAAAAGATCTGTTAGATGTGTAGATATTTGTACAAACTGAAAATGACCATAGAAAAAATTACATCAACAGTCGGTTAATTTTTGGAGGTGGAGAAAATATCATGTAAAAAGACTTGAATGATCATTGAATGTTTACTGAAGACATGGGCAATATTAGCGATCATAAAAAGTGGCACTTGATCGCAACGATCCGTGGAAGTCAAGGTCTAGCTAGCTGAGCATTGCTGGCTAAGCACAATGTCCCTCATCGAGAGAATAATAATTCACGATGATTATATACATTAGAAATCTTTCCAATTACAATTAGTTTTGATGAGCTATTTTGAGAATCTGTTATTATAATCCTATTTAAGAAGGACGAATGTTTCGTCGGGACGATTTCGTTGATGAAATGAAATATCGGAATGACAAATATATTAATTTGATCTTGTGTTCTGCCTTCGTAAATTAAGCACGATCACAGCAATAAACGTTTTCAAGAATATTTTTGCGAAATCAAGTTCAATTTCCGCATGCTTCGATTACCAATATCACGTTACGATTAGAAAGTTCAAGATATCGTCTGTATCGCATTTTGCATGCTAGTATTACCTAAATTTCGAAAATGTAACTTACTGACCTACATCCACCATATGCTGAAGAGTCGGGAAACGCCTCTTAACGCGGAGCGAAATCCTTTGCAGCGTAATGACGTACGCGAGCACGGCATACCTCACGATGTTGCGTCTCATCAATCGCCCCCGTTCGTCCTGAAACAGACAAACAGTCATACGTGAATTATATTTTATGTCTTTTTGGTAAATTTAAGATGAGCGCGTTAATTCTTTTAATGCATTAATTTTTTTACTAATTTTAACTGCTAGCTCGCGCAATAGATTTTAACTCGCGCTAATAAATTTAGAAACCATTCGATCTGCTGTTTAAAGTCACCGCCTTAATAAAAACCTGAATTTGCAATAAATCAGTATCGGTTGAACGGCGCCGACTTCAAAATTCGTTTTAACAAATGCCAGACACGTTTCCACGTCTCGCACATACTTTCCCCTTGTTCTCTTGGCCCGACGTTACGAGCTTCTCCCTGGCCACTGCTACCGTTTTAAACTGTTCTAATATTAGTCGGAGAAAAACCCGATGACGCCTGCTATTTTCTTTTCTTTCTTGGACATTGACGCGCACTTTTGTAACCGCGTTTTGCAATCCACCAACGGCCGCAATCGCTTGGAGGAATATCAATTTAATCGGAAATGATCGACGATGTCGACATTCAGTTTTTCCGTATGCTCAAACTGTCACAATTTTGAAGGAAAATTAGCTGAAGATTGGAAATATTTTTGAGATTTTAATTTATAAATTGCAAAAGATAAGTCGGAGTTAGTTTATATTACTAAGATATGTTTTCTTCATGACTGTCGATACCTTATACATCACACATTAATTAACATCGCCTCCACGGAGCGCGGAGGTTCCTTGCATTCTTCGCTCACCAGCGACGATGAGCTATAAACCTTCTCAGGCACGTAGAGCTGTCATAAGAAATTACGTCAAGCTTTATTGATTGCATGGCAGTTACAACCGCGTTGAAAAATATTTAAAAAAAAGGGAAATGGTAACAATTCTTCATTCTTAAAGCGATTCCTTTCTCTTTCCGCATTTTCTGAATCGTCTTTCGACGTTCGTAGACCACCGTTATCTTTTCTATGGCCTTATCATCATCTTCCATTTGCACGTACGAAAAACGAGACAGACTCCTTCCTCGGAATTCTGCGACTTACCCGTCACGCATGTAAAAATGCCCAGTTTGGCAGCTTTGCGAACGACCCTCCTCGTGGGGAAAGGTAGCAGTCCGAACGCCGATCGTCGTTTCGCATTACAATTGGATTTCAATGAAAGGCGCAGCTCAGAAGCCCCGTGTTGACTACTGCAGCACTGCTCATTCACAAATCGGACACTCTGTATTACGCGATTACATGACCGGGCGTATGTATATAACCGTGGGCTTGTTCCGTGGCTGAGGACCTTGTCCCCTACCTACGTGCAAAAATTCCATCGGAACCCGTCGTTCCTAGAGATCCACTGCACCGTACGCACGCAATTGCATGCACACTGCGCTTTGAATCGAAAATTCGCGAAAGAACGTAACAACCGTAACAACAATTTTAAATGTCGTTAATACGTCTAAAACACACCTAGTGCAATTTTGATCTCACTGAAGTTCCCACCGAAAGTTTGTTTTAACGCGGAAATTTGATCGTTTAAAATTATAATTCGCGGCAGATTATTTTAATTTTATATGTCTGATGCAAATGTACTCCAACATATTTTATTTTATATAAAAACAAATGTATTAAATTCTACTTATAATATACTACTTAACTACTTATAATATAAATTGGATATTTTGCGTTGCGCAAATTTATTGAAGTCGAGATCGTTATCATACCATTGCAAATTGAGGAGAGACCACAATGAATTCGTCAATCATTGGCTGAAGAAGCCCGTTGTACATAAACGCAATAATGCTTCTCGCACGAAGATGGAATGACAGTCAGAAGGTAGACAAGGAATGTAGCGAAGTGTTTATGCGGTAGCACAAGTATATCTTTCTCATTGCAATAATAAATGTATAATAAAAAATGTTAGAAAATCATGAAATAAATCCAACATTCTTTCATGCTCCGCGGTGTAGTGCGACACCTTAGCTAGCTTCGGATTTAAAGATCCATAATTTGACATTTTCAGCAAAAATAACTGTACGCATGGCGGGACATCGTGCAATCAAACCGCTTTTTCTCGAAACTTTCTCGAAAATCGTTGCATTCTGGACGCACGTTCCATGCGGTTTAATATATGAAATTAGTGCTGGAGTTGAGTGTGTGAGGCGAAGAGGGCGGTTGCATAAGGAAACGATTAAATCGTTTAGTAGCGATTGATCGACTCTCGCTCTATTAATGTAACGTCGTCAGTAGCAATTGATGGCTGCAAGCCATCGACCATGTGTAGTACGAGTTTAGCACTCGATGACCAATGGACATGTATTTTATTAGAAGTCGAAGTAATGGATCGAAGTAATGGATCAGTATGTATAGTGTATAGAAGAAGAATATATACGTGTGTATATATGTATATAAGTGTGCATGACGCGCCCGCGCGCGCGTAGGTTCGTCCTTCTTTTTCGCCATGGTACGTTGCACTTTCACTCCGACACTGAGTCATTGACCAGAGGTGGAAACTTGCACCGAACCGCCTTCGTTGTCCAAATTAAAGCTCCCCGACTCACGACTGGAGAATCATCCTCAGAGAATTTACGAAAGTAATTGAAAAGAGTTTTCTTAAAAAATTTATCAAGTATCAGCAGTAAGATCATAAAAACAACGATTGTTTGAAACATTGAAAATATCGAGGATGATGTATATATTTTAGTGTACTAAAGTGTAAAGACGCAATTATACTTAAATTATGCAAATGCGTTTGGATTTAAAGAAAAATAAATTAACTTTTATCGCTAAACGAGCATGCTTATCACAACTAAACCAATTATAAATACGAACGGGATATTTATTTATGTCAAGGCCCTAGCAAATAACACATTATAATCCGTTCCCTGGCGTTTGTATTAGCTATGTAACCGAATAAAAAAAGCAAAATTGCCACCGGCTGCGAAATTATAGGATCATCGTCCCGTACATTTTTTTCGCTTCTAGGCGTGGCATGACTGGATTGGCACCTACTTAGGTTAACGACACCGAAACGTGTCACGGCAATTCATTAGCGTAATGAGACCGAACGAGCGACTACTCGAAGCAAGGCTGCATCTATTAACGTTGTCGCGGGTCGCTTTCTTCGCAGGAAAAAAAAACATCATTTTCGCTAAAGACATTGCTTAAAGTTTCTTTTTTGCATCTGAAATGCTTTCATTTCTCGCAGTACTTTTACGAATAAGAATAGCGTTTATCCTTTCAAGAAGAACGCTTTGTTGCCACCATACTTTTAATCATATTTGAGACCAACAAAGGAATCCTTTTCTCGCGCGCGATGGACAGGTTCTATACTTACGTTTCCAGGAATGGCAGCGCTGATGAAGAGGGCCAGATTATCCGGCCAGGGCAAGAGCTTGTACTGCTCCCACCATCTTTTCACAACAAGGCTTACGTAGAATCCCAGGACGAACGACATGGGTATGGATTCGCTGGAGTTGCCGAAGTAATAACGTATTTTTTCGAAAATCCTGCAGAAAAGATAAAATTTTTTTTAAACAATTTATCACTTACTCAAACTTTTGTTTCGTGCTTCATGTTAAAACAAAATTTCTTTATGCACATACATTTTAACGCATATTATATTCTTACATTATTGAATACTGTCATAATTAACAAATATGGTAAATTAAAGAAGAGTAATAATATGAATAAGGAAATATTTTTTAAGGGATTGCAGAAGGCTAGTCCATTCGAAATGTTGGCGTGAATTTGAATACTGTTAAAGTGTATTACAATTGTGTATTAGAATTGTCTGTGCAAACTCGCGTGCGCTCAAAGTGGAGCAAGGTTGAGGTGATATACCGTCACTCGCGCGCACCCGAAGACAACTATCCCTCTTATTATACATGCTGATCAGCGTTGATAAATGCGGATTTCTACTTTGTTTTGGCTACTAACTGCAAGCGAAAGCGCAAATCTGTTTTATCGAAAGCGTCTTCGAGGCGAGTCTGATTCCTTCCTCGCTTCGCCCGTCAATATCGGTTATTGCCTCGCAACGGGTCATTTTAAGAAGAGCGTAATCACAACGCATAAAAGTAGCCGAAGACGGTTATGTTTACGACTTCGCACATCAATTCTGACCGATTAACGCCGCGATTCCAGGATGTCTCAGTAAGTAGGTTTATGTTGGAATTTCCGCGAATAACTGGCCCCGTATTCGCACTCTTGAGGTAATATTGACTTACCGTTACCTGAACGTACAATATCATGGCCACAAGAAACTGATATTAATATCATACGTAGTCATTCGAGTAACGACACAGCAGTATCAAATACTTTCTCCAAAAAGGCACGCTCAATATAGTAATCTGATAATTTAAAATACTTTTTACGATATATCGTAAGAAGCATTTTACATATATCGAGACACGAAAGGTATTTTACATTCGTCTAAAAAAAGACGCTTGTCAGATAAATCTGAGTGCGAAAGGGTTTTTGGAATCTCAATGAAGGATGATTAATCTTGCACAGCACCGCGTGCAGTCCGCTTAGCTCTGTTCAGTAATACTGAATCGCTTATTTCATTCTTTACCCTGGGACCTAAACCCGCCTTAAACCGTCTCTACAGTTCTAAATTTAGCACGGACGAATCGAAGCAATTTAAAGGAGAAATCTTTTTACATCCTTGCGCTTTCTTCTGACACTTCTTTATCCCCCTTTTTCAGCCCCGCATAAATAACAGGTTACGTTTTTATGTCTCCTTTTAACGCCGGACACAGACGCTTGTCCAACACGTTTCATGATGTAGTTTCTTGCGTACAGGAGGACGCATCAAAAGAATTCTTTTAAAAATCGTACATTGTAAGAAATAACTGCATTGATGTTTAAACGATTTAAGTAAATCACAGAAAAACTATTATGTCTATATTTAGATATACACAGTAAGTACATAGTAGATTGTAATTTCTTAATACAAATACATCACATAACAATAATATTATTTGTATGCAAGTGTTACGTTTTTTTTAAGTGTAAGCTTATGGCATTTCTACTTGAATATGCGCCGTAATTATACTTTTAGTTAGACAGTCGTTTGCATTCACTGTAGGAGTCCATTGGGCATTGACTGTCCTTGGATACGAGTCACCCGCAGCGATTGTTTAATGAATTTACAGCAAAGACACGAAAATACATTTTGCTGAAGATAGAATATCTCGATTAATTTCACAAACAATGCGATGAAATAGTTCACAAAATTAGTATGCAATGGGATAAGTTCTTACTCGCGAAACAATTGCGCTCTTTTAATATCATTAGAATTTAGTATAATTTTTATATTTAAAAATTGCTGTTCACTAATACCTATATGTTAAAGATCTTTATCGCTTGGTTCTCCCGCTTGCAACCGATCGAACATCATGAAGGTAAACGAAGGAAAGGTTATCGAGTGTCCTGCGTGGCAAAAATACAACAATGAATACCAATAAAAAAAGAAGGTATTGTAAATTCCTCGATGTTAGTCGATGATACGCGTGACCGTGATCAAAGTGTTTGGAACCTTCGGATTTGCTGGCGGGCCAAGGTTGATATTGCACGGGTTTATCTACGTCCATAAAATACAGTTATGGCAGCGTACGCTCACGCGCCAGCCGGACGATCGTTGAATTCGGCGTTATTCCTGATAAGAACGCGACAAACGAGTTAATAATCAGCGGAAATAAAATCGCTGTTCTCCTGGCCCACGATCAAGAGCAGACAAACATTGTCTGCTCAAATTATTTATACGTACATTGAACACCTACCCCGCATTGCCTTGAGTTTTAAATCAAGTATTACGCTTCCTGAGTTTCCTCCGAGGCAATTTGTATTGAAATTATGGCCGGGAATAATCGTCACCGAATGCGAGAAAGAATTTAATAATAAAAAAAATGTGCGCTGTCGCCCTAATATCAATGTACGAGGATTTTATTCCGAAACATTTCTTTTTCCGTTCGAAATTTCTTCAGCCTTCCGCTCCCTCGTAAAGAATGGAATTTACGAGAGTTATTACTTAGTTCCGGGAATATTCGTGTACTCACTGTCGTTGGTGCTCATTCAGCACGTATCGATATGTAAAATTGATGAGGTAGTAGAAGAATAGGTATGCCAGTAGTTCTCGCCAGATTAGCTTGTAAACGGAGCCACGCCATCTGCAAGAAGAATCCAACAATTTATTTAAATAAATTGCATAAACAAAATAATAATATAAACAATTTATTCTTATCTCACTGTGAGAACCCATTACTTTGAGCATAAACCCTTCGATTTCTTCAAAAGCTAATCTTATGATATTCGAATAAGTGACAACTTGCGCAAAATTGTATGATGTGGTACAATAGCACATTACATTTTAAAAAGAAATAGTCCTATTTCTTCACATACCTCCTTCTTGCGTTATGATAAATTATCCATATTGCGCAAACGTTTAAAAAAAAAGACATAAAACAGTCATTGCGCTGACCGAGACTTACGTATTCATCTGAACGCCTCGTGCTCTAAGTTAGACTGAATTATAAGCGCTAGATATCCCTGATACCCTTTGCTTTATAAATCGTAGCAGATGTAAGGATTCGCTATTCTCGAACCATGAAAATGGGCGAAATCCATCTTTCATTTTCTACTATCGTCCGAACTTCCTCGTCGAGTGAATGAACTTCAAGGTATCGACCATTATCTGTGCTCTTTTCAAGCATCCTTTTTAAATGTTTGAGAAATATCAACGCTTCCTCGATTCCGTAATCGTTAATGCTTCGAACGTCCCTACACGCATGATCGCTCGCTTGAGAAGTATTATTGTCACCATTTATGAATTAATTTCAAAGTATCATGGATATTAATAAATCGATGATACGTCGCCTCGCGTAACGCACGTGGAACAGGTTTTGTCTGAAAGAGGAAGGAGGAAGAACCTTATGAACGAATTATCTCACAATTTCCCTTTCAACGAGTTACCGCTTCGTTACCAATACGATCAGTACAATCGGTAACAGCTAAATCATTCTACAAAATCGTAAACGGCATGTGCGCTTCGGAACCGGCTATAGGGAATTAGCGAAAAGTGTGTCACGGCTAAATCGATTTTATGAGTTTCGAAGATACGCTGCTTGCGCGTGATGTTCCCCGAACGTAAAAATGCACCATGAATATTTTATGGTAAAATCAGATATCGGTCGATGATGGTGACGTAATAGGAAATATCAGAGGCGACTTTATTCTATAATTTTTATCTTTTGCACTCTCCCTTCCCAAATATAAACTCACTTAAAAATCAACAAAACAACTAGAAATATTTTTAAATGGCATTCAAGAATGAATTATTGTTAGCCGCTTCAGAAACAATGACTTTCAATGCAAAACAAATTCCTATGTATCCAACGGATACATGCAGTGTAAATGGGGTCAGAGTGAAAAGCACTTTATAGATGTTGTAAAGTGGATATGTCAACCATTGTTTGATAATAGAGCTATGAACTATGTCATTTGTTTCCATTCGCATAGAAGACGAATGATTCATTTATTCATTGGAATTTGACATCCTGATTTACGATAAGATTTCATGTCATACGGTATGTTAAGTTTAATATTATGAAATATCTTGTGGACATTTTTCCATGTAAAATGTTAATACACATGTGTCATTTTAAGTATGACATTCATTCAAAACAAAATGTTCGATTTTTCATTGCGCGTTTAACAAATGACGCACATGTCAAACTGTCAGCCTACAAAACAGAATATTTACTTGAAATATTGAAAACAAAAAAAGCACTAATCAACAAACATCACGCCTCTCTAGAGGGAGAAAGATATGAAAAGTTGTACCGGATATCCGCCACATTCAGAGTAGCTAACTTGCTGTACGGTCACAAGACCGTAACGGTACCGAATGATTATTGTGCACGATAAATTCATTCGCGGCTGATATGACAAGGATCAAAAGAGTGAAAATCTCGAGAGAATAATTGAGATGACGCGTATAAGGTGAAATAATAAATCGCGTTAACCGCTTAGATCAAAAGAATTCCTCCGATGTGATTGTATTCCAATCGCTAGAGTTGCGTAAACAGGATTATTTCCTTTCGATAGTGGCTCTTCTGCTCATCAGCCAACCCGTAATTACGGGAAACTGCAGCTAACCGTTGTTAGCTATATTTTTTTGACGCGCAATACACCACTAATCAACATTCGTGATCGCGCCATCGCAAATTGCAATTTTGTAAAAATAATCATAAAATTGATACACACATACAATTACGTGCCTTTAGTCACCGATTAAGCTATTTGCCTAGCGTATAGCAAACACTCGTTACCGTTGATATTCATTGGACAACTTAACCGGACTATTACGCGGAAATAAAACGTGATTGCATTTCTTATTAAATGCTAACAATAAGCGTTTTTAAGTGCTTTCGCAGAATAAACTTATATAAAATGCATTTAAATTATCTATTAACTTGTAAGTATATAATTATAAATGCTATTTTGTTTTTATTAATCATCTTTTATGAACGTTTACTATAATATACCTAGTTGTATTAATATTAAATCATTGTATTAGTAATAATCGGTCTAAAGGTTTTCTATTTGTAATTACGCGATTAATGAAGAAACACCTTTCAGAAAAATAAGTGCCTTATCAAATCAAATCCAGTTACTCCAAATGATTTAAAAAAACTAAAAAATTATAAGTTTTTTTTTATAAACGTTTGTAAACTCTTTTACACATTAGGAATTAATATATTATTAAGAGTTAATCCATTATTTCAAAAAATCCAGTTTGCCTACAAAATAAATTAAAATTAGCTTTGACGTGGAGATATGAAATAAATGTCAAAATAATTTTGCTTCAAGGAATATATCGATTCTTTCACATGAGTCACGAAACCGCAAAGTTATTTTCGCACAATGATAAAGTGCTTCTAGAAAACTTATTACAGTTTATTTTTGCTTCCTCCTAGAGGAAGCTTTGTTTTTCAAACGTAGCTGCGAAAGAAATTTTTGGTCCTCAGTGAAAGTATGACAATATCTCATATATTTTTCAAAAATTTCATCGCATTTCGACATTCTTAAAACATGTTCCGAAACACCATCATAAACAAGATCGATTCAAACATTTGTAACTGAGTCGAACCTTGACATCGCATTTTTTCGGTGATATTTATTAATTATATAATGTCGCAGAGACGCGCGAGGTTCCGCCTGCTAGCAAGGAAGATATAAGAATTGTGTCGATCGCTTTTAGTCTCACGGGTAAATGACGTGATGAGACGTTACGGATATATTGGATAACGACGGAAGGGCATTTGGTTATTTCCTATTTGTGTGTCAGTGGGTCATGGTAGGAGGCAATGTCCCACGTTTTTCGTACGTATACGCCGACACGCCCGCGAATCCCTTCACGTGTTTCATGCGTGCGTATACGCACATGTAGGTACGTACATGGGTAAGAGTCATTACATCGGCGTGGCTACAATTGGGAGAACCCATTGTATTGTTAATCAATCCACATGACGACCTTCGTTTGGTTCATAATTTCTTCCCAAAGGCGAAGGACACTAAGAATACAGCTTTAAAATTAGTCATTGCGATAAAAATTGTCGAAATTTTCAGTTGCATGCGAAATCATTGAATAATCAACTGTCAATATATGATTTTAACTATATAAATATATATATAATATTTAATCATAAAAATATATAATTATATTAGATTGCATTAGGCGTTGGATGCAAAACAATGGTATCAATTATTTACAGATTATCGGAATATTTTAATTAATTTATGATCTTATATTAATTAAAAATAAGCGTAATTAGATTCTGTGGTCGATACGTTGGCGTTGTATAATAAACTGAAACCAGAACTATAATCATATTCATAATCACTTAATCATATACGTTACGTATAATGCATAAGCATTAATAACTCAATTTAATATCTCAAAATATTGAAAAGTAATAAAAGAATTGGCTTAATATTTAAAAAAAAGTGACACTTTTAGATGCAAATGCGTTCGAAATTTGAAACCGGACTGATGCGTTCAAAACCCCCTTTCAGAGGATTGAGACGCGGTATCTAAAATGCTGAATTTGATGAGCCATTATAAAGATTTGCATACAAGATATTTCATTCTTATTCAGATAAGAGCTTAGCGTATCATCTTTGTGACATGACAAGATATCGCTTTCTTCCCTTTTTCATTAAAACTAGTTCTCAGATGATCTCAAATAAAAAAAATATTTAGCGATTATCTTATACGATCCTGTTTATCCAACATATGGTCGCGAAGAATATTATGTGATTAATTAAAAAAAAAGTGTGTGTTTTGCCAGAGTTGAACAATAAAAAAACTAACTCTGTAGACCCGTTCTTTCAACAATTAATCGGTAAGAAATTTACAGTGCAAATTCGAGAGGCAATATAGTATTCGCCGTCCATAACTTGGATGTTTCTTCGAAACGCGCTCGATAAACCTCATTTTTATTTCGCGCGCTGCCTTCATTTTGCCGTGCGATGTAAAAGAGTGTTGTAAAAGAAGCGCATACCAGCGCGTTCTAGCGCAACGGACAAACGCGGTCTGCCGCTCGTAAAGCATCGTGTTTTAAGGGTAGTAAATTAGCGCAATTCTCGCCGAGACGCGGCCATTTTTTTACGATCGATCAGACGGCGTCTCTTCCCGATGCGGGATCGAGGAAGACGTTGACGCGGGTCATAAAGGTTGACGGATAAACGCGCGAGTGAACGTCAATGACGGGCTCTCGCGGTCTCCGCGAGTGAATGGGCGAACGTTGTGCGATGGCCGCGTGTAGCCAGCCAGATGTCGAGCGTTTATGCAAGATCGTTATAACATAACGCGGCAATTTAACCCGGTGCAGAAGCAGCGTTTTCTTTTTAGTCCTTTCTCCATGCGTTTCATGGTTTCAGCGCGAAATCGAGCACGTAAATTTATGTGGCCACTTATTGTCGGACGCGGTGACCAATTTCTAACTGTTACAGGAGCGTCTGAGTTGCATAGATCAATGCAATTGCATAGTTATGTCGAGAATGCTCTCCGAGTGACGCTTAAAGACGTACTGATGCTGAAAGGAACATTTTGTAATATTAAGCGATAACATCGTAGACAACACAACGCGTAAAGCCAGATCGTAAA